TGCTCACCGTCATAGAGTTGTACGCTGGATGAAAGCGTACGATGCGACCAGTGGAGTTAAAGGCATGTATGTAGAAGCAGTAAGCAAATATCCTGCTATTTGTAACTCGGCTACCCGTGCGGCTAACTTAGCCAAGGATTTGGACTGGTGGAAGAGACGAGAGCGCATATTGAAGGCAGATCGCGGTTCTGTTGCAAGTTAGCGCGTCGATGTGGTGGAAGACGGCGTATAAACACAACGGTTATTGGGCATCAGATCGTTATCAGATCTCTGACTGGGAAGAAACAGCTCAGCTATGCAAATGTTTGGCACATAGAGAAAGCAGTGGCGCTCCATCGGGGTGTACTATATCGAGGGTTCAAGACGGATCGCTCGATGAAAATGCAATCGAGAACATCGACGAAACTCACTTTGTCGTGGATTTTCGACATCGGTAATACACTCGAATTTCGCGGTGGCATGACTGTCAAATATGCCGACGTAGTGTCAGGAGGAGAAGGAATGACGATAGTCGTCAGACTGTCCGGCGGACCGAGTGCGCGGATACACCCGCCATGAATGATTTTGATGAGCTCGAGTGGCAATTACCCTATCCACGGAACTCCGAACAAAACCCCCGGGATATGCTATCGCTCGAGAAGGAAGGGATGGATGACGCAAAAGCTGTTTCGATAATATCTCAAAGAGAGACGAGCGATGCGTACAGACGGGGGGGGGGCGAAAGAAAGTGATCTTCCTTGATCACTGACCGCTCTGGCCACCTGGAAGCTGGGGAATGCCGTGCCGAACTTGATGATATCACACCTGATCTCATATATTTTTCTGTAAACGCGACAGACCTCTGTCAACCAGCGGACTCATTTGTAATCTCTAAGATAAAGGACGCGTGGAAGGTCAAGTGAAACGAGAAGAAGATGAGATCGATTAAGAAAAGCTGTTGGCAAATCAAGATACGGAAGGATGGGTTGTTGTCCGGGAAGCTTAAAAATATCCAGGCAAGACGTTTTTCCTGTATCTTGCTGCAGAGACGGTGAAATCAGTCAACCTTCAAAACGACAAGAACAGTATGTCCTACTCGCGTAAGGCGACGATACGGTGTGGTTTGTCGCTTGAATTATACGGTGTGTGGTCAGTTAAGCAGCTTTATCCTCATCTCCAGGATTTCATAAAGAAATATCTCATGCACTTTGAAGGTGATCCAGTAGATGCGAATCACACCTGACGCGTTAGTATCACAGCTAATACTTTATGAACAAAATAATTACAGATACCAAATCGGCTGAGTCGTCAAGCCCTCTTCGTGTTACGGTGGGAGTGGAGGGTTCGAGTCCCTGCTCAATCAATGTTTCTGACAAAGACTTTTTTAGAGTATAAATAGTATTAGTCTATTAATAGTCTAAGTCAGACTAATTATGGTGACTAAACATGCAGACTTAGCACATCAAATATTCGCAGTAAGAATAATTACCATAAACAGTGTAGTGTTTGCTCGCTATATGTATATATACACGGTATTAACGCCTAGCAAAATTTTAATTTAGCTTTTTGTTTATTTTGACATGCAGTTTTCGCAAAAAAAAATCAGTTGTAATTAAAGATGTCTTCGCGTGGCTCGATTTGCGGAAAAGTCCACCTTACTTTCATTTCAGTGGCAAAATGGGCCGATCCGTTTAAAAACAATTCCGCACCGACCAACTGGAGAGCACCTTCTCACAAATGGGTGCTAAAATGCATTATACGGGTACTGAATATGGTTTTGGACAGCAAACCAGGCACAGACGATCCTCTTGATTTTGATATTTAAATTAAGTGGTCACTTGCATACAAACTTAAGATAAACTGACTACTACTCCCTTATTAGTGAATGGTACTGTAACACAAAAATGACGGATATCGTTATACAGAGGTACTTAACAACTGATTTGGTATGTTCTTTAGAGGTCGATTACCTGCTTGATTTTCCCACAAAAGTGGTGGCGAACGTGTGTAAATGCAATAGTAAAGCCTTTTATTTAGCCAGCCTTTTTTGAGCAAGCAACAGCGCAACTTGTTGCCGTCTGGTTGGAATTGAAAGAAAAGACAGGCATCATCCATGTTGAATATGTTTTTGTCAAAGTGGTGTTCCTGCTTCAGCATGTGCGCTGTAGGCAAAACACATTTGGGTCCCGCCGCACAGGTTGCGCCTAGCTCACTGGTGGATTGTCGGCTTTGTGACGGCAGATCTGTTGTCGCTGCATATTCGTTAGGCTGTTTCGCGACGTGGGTGTTGTATACGTACAGATCCTGATACAGCCTCTATACGATAATAAAATTGCGGCTTCTTGAGTACATGTATCACGTTCTTTGAAATTTCCTTCAGAGCCAAGGAATAACCAGACTGGGGTATTTTTTTCCCTGAATTAAAGGCCGGTAATTTAGTCGTTCAGGAAATTATCAAAACAGAAAGGCTCAATAGAGCTTAAGTGTCTCAAAAATAGATCATACGCGATCTAAGAAAACCCTGATAAGCTTATAAATTTTATGCGTGTCGCTCGAACCGTCAACCTTAGTGTTTAATCACAAACTGATATAAAACATTGTTTCTTTCGTAGCTTATTACTATTATTGGACATCGAAGCAAAGGTGCCGCCGCCGCCCAGATGGTGGCCGGAGCTGCCTGCAGATTCTTCCCCTCTCCCACAGTAAAGAAGGTCTACTTTCGGTAGCAATATATCACCTACGCCTTGATCGTGCAAAGTGAGAGTATCAAATACACGAATATAAATAATGAAATTGTACATCACTTCCTTACTGAGGCCACGGTGACTTGTCGGGATAATCCAGCGATATGAAGGCTTATCGACCGGCTTTCGTTATAAAATATCGTTGCTGTACGTTTAGTGACCGCACTGCTCTGACCGCTACAAAATGAAATGTAAGAGCCATGAGAAATCCCAAGAAACATAGAGGTCAGCCGCGCTCGAGAACTGTTAACCATGTACACCGTTCACTTTAATCAGTCATGCTTCGAAATTAATCGTGCATTCGCGCTTTAGCGACGTCACAAATCTGAGAAATTTAGAAGGCTCATCAATGCTAAACAAAAGGAACGGTTTTGGGCAGATGTCGGCAATTACTTTATTCTAGTGTGCTTGGTTTGAGTAGTTTTTAAATAACGGGCAGTTAAGTTATGTGCTTCAACGTAAACACCATAATTAGTCATAGCATGACTAATTAGAGTGAACGGTGTTGTATTTTTCAAGGCATGCTTTAAGTCTTTCATATCTGACAATACTTGATTTTTAATCCATTTTAGAGAACTACTTATTATAGTACGTGGAGTTAATTCGATTGTCCGTGGTTTTAATCCTCAAAGCCTAGTGCAAGTGTGCAGTCCTATGCAAAAGGAGATGTTTCAGCGAAATACAATACGGAGTATTGTATTTATTGCGCTAATAATACTTCTAAGTATACGTCAGCTCAAACACGGCTCTAACTCTTTTCGCGCTGCCGTAGCGGACTAAAAGATATCAGGTACAACCACTTCGTTAAACGGCTTTGACAGTACCGTTTTGATATTTCCAACAGATCGAAAGCAGTACAAGTGCAGACAGTTTATCGTTCGAGCTCATTGTCCCCAAGAACGTCCTTCGCCTACTGTTTAGGTGAAATGTAGCACATGATCTTGCGTGAGAAAAAAAACAAAACTTAAAACCAATATGTAAATAGATTAAAAAAAATATTCCTCAAGTTTCAGAGCTTCTTCGTGCACGACTTTGTGCTAAACCGGTACATGAGTTATGCTCAATGATTGCGGTCACGTGGTGGTAAGCATTTACAGGTACAAATACAGTATTCTCTATGTCGATCTTACTGACCTACTGTCGCAATACGGATACAAGTATGATAAATTCCAAATTTAAATGGGCTCGACTTCATGTTTCCATATCAGCATTGACGAAATAATCGAAAACATGTTCTACTTCGTACTATTACATCATTTCACTTGCCGTTGCTTGCTAATAAGTTATGGCAGAGCTGCTAAACACTAGCCGAGTGCCGCCGCTACGCGGCGGGAAAGAATGAATGTCGTTCCTTGTGTTTTGCCTCCGTTCCGCTCGCTACGGCTCGCTTCACTACTCGCATGGTAGGCTGGCAGATTGTGGCTCAGGCGGGCCCATAGGCCCGCAGGGTTGCAGAAGGTGCCGATTTGGGCCGCCTCGCTGCGCTCGGCAGCTTTTAGGCCAATCGGGGCCACCTTCGCTGCGCTCGGCAGCCAGTAGAAATATTTAAATTATTTTATCCAATGATTTGTCCGGAAAAGCGTGACAGGCACGACAATTTAGTGTGACGTTGCTGTTTAAGATATCACATTTAGTCGTTCGACGAGAGCTGTTTAATAGCAAACAGAAATTGCTTGCACGTCTAATTTGTTTGACGCGAAAAATGCTAAATAAATTGAGCTGAAATGCAAGATGACTGTGTAGCACTGTGGAGGTTGAATTGGAAGGCGCGTAAGATTTACCTTTCAAATTCATAGTTGAGAAGACCTACTATTGTAGTTACTAAGTCTCTGTCGTTTATCACTTGGGTGGGTACTCCATTGATAAGATAACGAGGTAGTTTTATATATCGAGGTTATAAAAAGAGATAGATCGATTTAGTAGAGTGGCTAATAAATCGAGCTAGGACAAGCCAAATCAAGCGCTCGTGGTCGAAACCGACATCGATATCATTTAAAACGGCCCCTTTTGCGTTGTTGACACGCAAAACGAGCTCAGATCTGCTTTTTCTAATCTTTGTTTTACGGTATTTTACATGTTCGATCAGATCAGAAAACATTTCATCTGCAAATCATACATGAGCTAAATCATGGGATCAGACAGCGACAGTTGGTTGAAGAAAATCCTTGGCTGTAGCTGAGGAAAGCCAAGCAGCAATGCTTTAAAAAGTTCCACTCCATTCTCCAATTTTCTCCGCGCCCCGTGCTCAAGTCTGAAGACCGCATTTCAAGCCCAGTCATGACATTTCATCACGCTGTGCTCTTGGTGACTGTACTTGTAGTCCTGGCTGCAGCTGCTGACCCCGCCTCTGATTTGGAGCTGTCGCCCACTGTCGCTTCTGATCGTGTGACCGAGACATTCCTTAAGAGATTGCTTCGAGCCCATACTACCACTGCGGAAGAGAGAGGCTTCTTCGGAGGCATTCCTGGTCTCGATAAACTCAAAAAAGTATTTTCAATGAGCAAGAAAAAGGACCTCCAGGCGCAGCTGAAGACCAACGATAATCTTGGCGACGCGTTCAGAACGTTAGGGTTGAGCGCAGGCCTCAAACTGGGTCTTTTAGAACGCAGAAGGTAGCTGATTTCTTTTCAAGCATGAATTTCAAGGTTTGGTCGGAGCATGCCGCTAAGCTTAACAAGAAAAACCCAGACAAAGCAATGCTCACTGAGCACACGAATGTATTCGGCGAAAATGATGTGGCTATTATGATTTTACTGGGAAAGGATTCGAGGTGGTCAAAGAGCGTCGCCAAGAAGTTGGAAACGGCCCTGTTCAACAAATGGTATGCTACAGACAAATTTAATGCAGATAAGGTACTGACGGGGGTGCTGGGTGTGGCTCGGAACCGTATTCACGAAAATTCCCGGGCGAAGAGTATATGGGCAAATTACATGGACTATACGAGAAAGAGAGTGGTGAACTATTAGACGACGTAGACTTTATCCGGGGAACGACAATAAAACAAATTATACGCTCTTATTTTATGCTAACGACATGATGTCTTGTGCTTGACTATTTATTTCGAACCCATTTTCTATTTTGTTTTCATTTACACTTCTTCATTTGCCACTTCATGATCGCGGTGGATAGTAAGCTACTACATATCTGATTTGCAGAGTGCTACAGTAATGAGGATCAGTCGTTGCTACTTAAAAGCTGGATGGGAATTGTGTGGTAAGTCTACTTTTTTTCTACCATTATTTGGTCTTTTATAATCCGGCTTTTGAGTAGCAACGTGAAGACATGACTTAGCTTCAAACCGGAGGTCGTGTTCCAGCAATCGGTTTGATGCGGAATTAAAACATATTCTAAATTTCCGATTAAATTAATGAAACAAATTTAAATTAGTTTTGGGGATTGCTCCGCTTAAACCATTTCTAAAAAGAAACCAATTGGTTCTCGCTTTCTATGGTAGCGTCGGTATCAGTTAAGAGGTTCGGCTCCCTTTAGCGGTATGTTTAGCTTTGTCTTGTCCTACTGTGCGTTTTAAGAAGACGTTTTGTGCCCCTACTCCGGCCAGGTAAAAAGAAAAAAAATAGTACATGTACATTTGTGGGATTTCACCCGGACTGTAACGGGTACAGGATCAAGCTCCATCAAGAGTGACTCGTCGCTTTTGTGGATACCTGCACACAGTACGAGGGGCTCTAGGAGCAAATCCGTGCATACCCCCCCCCCCCCCACACTATAGGCGATGTCTAGTTTGTACTAAAATCCGAACTAAGCTTACTTATAAATACGCCAGTCTTACATCTATCCCTTAAGTATCAAACCGCTCCCTCTGAGGCCGGGACACATGAACTAAAGTCCACCTGGGTAGTAAATACTCTTAAGCACTTCCTCTGAGTAAGGTGATTTTGTGTCCTGTCACACCTGGTAGCACTTGTAGTCAATCCTACACCCTCGCAAGTAGATTGACTTACCTAAATCCTCTGCATGCTCCGCGTTTGAGCCGAGATTCAGCGAAGTGGTTTTCCTAATTAAACGACTCACAGTATATGTCCGTTCGAAAGATGGTTGGCATCTTTGGGCAAGATGTCTTTCTCAGACTGGCGGCGGTGACGCCTGCTGAAAAACACGAACGCGTGGTTGCTTTGAGATTTACGAGCGTGGTCTTATCGCTCACGTCCGCGGAGGCTAAGAGATTTAAAAGGCCGCCCCCCCCCCCAGGTAATCAGGCCTAAGCCGGTAAGTTTGAAGAACATGTGTTTAGGGGGGGGCGTAAAGCCCCCACTTCTGGGTCTGAGAGGTTGAAATTGCCGTGAAGGCGGGTCTCATTGTGTATGAATCACTTTAAGTGGGTTTTACCATGTACAACCTTAATGGACAGGACAAGTACTGGGCTTGCACCAGGCAGACGACATATCCTAGACACAGCTGTATGATCAGTTGCATGCCACCTTCCTACCGGAGAAAAGCGAGCTCCTCCAGCGTTCGCGCTTTCTCGCTTGCTATCAAAAGAAACCCAAGTTGCACGAGTACGTGCAAGTGACAAGCACATTTATGGCCTCTCTGGGAGGGAATCCCCTCCCTGAAGACACTAAGACAACCGTCTTCATAGACGACCCACGCAGCGACTCCGCATGCATACATAAACTATGAAGGAGGCAATTTAAATCGCCCTCCAAGAGGATACCAATTACAATCCGGTTAATACTTATCAGGAAGTGGAGCACCACCACGACCAAACTTGTGCTACTAGGAAGCGGAGCAGAGTCGTAATGAAACTTCTGCGGTTACGCAGCCCGTTGATACCGGCGCAAAACGCGGTTTTGAATCGATGGACTTTAGCTCAATACAGAGCTTGTATCGCTGCTACAAATGTGGCGGACACGGACACTACCATCTTGTTTGTCCTTTACTATTCTTCCGAACGAACATAGCTCTTGGCCCCAGGTCCAGTGGTCCGGTGTCGCAGGTCACGGTCAGGTGAACGAGGGGCTCTGCGGCCAACCGTAGAGGCGGTATGTCCAACTGCAGCGTGCGAGGCCTTGGTGGTGGGTGTGTAAGTTTTACACCACGGAGCTTAGCCTAGAGCGACATCTAAGCGGTTAAGAGTAGTGGTGGTGGACGGCTGGCAATACACGTGGAGTACGGGGGTACGACTAAACTTGCCCATGCACCGACGACTCCACCAACAACAAGGCCATATCCTGCTGCGGTACATATTACACGAGTCTTTTTCCCGCCGTGTGGGCTTTCTACTCCAGCGGCGACTATCGCCGAAGATAATTGCGTCGTACGGGTTTCGACAGTGACTGTGCCAATTGGAGCTAGCCACGTGGATAACGTAGGCTCACACACGGTCGTCCAGACGTTAAATGCAGCGAAAGACGCTGGAAGGGCTTCCTGTGTGGATCGCACAGCTCCACACCCTCGCTCAGACCTTAACTGATGAAGAAGGTATTTGCTTGCTTCCTGCCTGGGTGACATAGTTCCACACACGATCTTGATTTTCTCTGCCGTCGTCCACGAGACATCGCACAACGTGGGTAGCAGCGCTCCATGTCACGGTAACCGTCGACGACACCACCGCCGTCACAAGTCGGGTCTGAACCTTTTTCAGACTGACGTCACTCCAAGCGTCTCGGAGCCCGGTGACAGTCGTTGAAAATCAATTATATCAAGTGTGGGTGGGTCTTCCACGCCAGAAGATCCCACAACCGAAGGTCGTCGCGTCGTATCGGCTTCGACAGGGAATGGTGCCAAACAAATTCACCAGGTAGGTAGCATAGGTCAGTATTTAATTAGGAGTAGGCAGAGTACCGTATTTAAAGCACCAAATCATAACCCATACCCACAACCCGTCTATATCATTACACACCAAGTAAACCTAATTTCACAAAAAAAATGAGCTCATTTCCCTGTACACGAGATAGAGCACCATTCTTATCGTCAATATCCAAATAAATACTTTTCAACCTTCAAATCCATCTCACACAACCAACAAATATTTTAATCGCCTTACATCCATTGGACGAATAAAACACGATTTTTCTCTAATCATATTTTACGAGGTGAATATTATGGTATAGTACTAACTACAGAGCGATAACCACGTACAACTATATCCTTGAAAGTGGGGTGCAATAGTTTTCGCAAACCTTTGCAAGAGCGGCGTGGAAAGCACCCCATTTCTATATTCCACTAATAGAAACGTATCCTCCTGATGTGAGTGAAGGAAGGAAGAAGAAGATCGTTTCTACACCGCTGAAGCAGCGAATAACATGATGATGATACATCGTTGGAGCGTTGAAGCTTTGATAAGCACTGCAACAGATAGAAGCCTTACCAATTGATGATGACGATGCCATATCCAGTAGATCTTAGTTGATGGGGCCCCGACTTCGGACAGTGGGGGCACCGCAAGTCAAACGTCTTTTTTGCAATCACCTTACATCCATTGTACTAATAGCTCGAAAAAGATTTATAAAATTCATAGATAATTGATGAATTTCATAGTTATTAGATACCATCCTACTATACAATATTAAATATATATCAAGAATCGAAAATGACTTACTCACCTGAAAAATATCAAGCTAGCAAGACCAGTATCGCTGCTGTGAAGAAATGATACTTTGAAAAAAGAGAAAAAACATTGCTCGTCAGAAAGCATACTACGAAAATCACCGTGAAAAAGGTCTGGCCCATCAGAAAGCATACGACGAGGAACATCGTCTCGAAATTCGTCACCATCAGAATAGATATCATTCTGAGCGAGCTCGAAAGATCGTTATAGATCCAATCGAGTAATGCTTATATTTTTTTTAAATTGAGGGAAGATACACACCATATACAAACAAGTTTAATCTGGTATTTTTTTATTTTCCATCTCATATACTAAGGATACTGTCTCACGAACTCGATGGTCTCAAGCGACTCGACATCCTATTCAAACGATGGGGTTCTACATTCCGTGTCAAAGTAAGAAATAAATACGGACGCATCGTATACATCTCGAGCTTTGAGAGAGGATACAATTGCACTCTTCTCAGAAAAGCATTCCGGATCTCTGAGGCTTGGCTAGAACGCGATCTTGCTCCGGATTACAAGTCAGCTGAGGCTTACTCTGTTTTTAATGGCACCATGGTAGCATCTCACCATTTTGAGCATTATGATTAGCCACAAGTATTTTCCAAAGCTCGAGAAACTCTGGCTAAGCAAGCCAAGGCTCTCAAAGTCAATATTCATCTCAGATATTAGCTGATATACCACACCAGTGGACTCGAGCAAAACCCCCGGTATGCCTCAAATACGGCTGTTTTTAAATCCCCGATCGCTAAACTTTGGAAGGATGATACCGAAAGCAAGGTTATGTCTCAGATGCAAGGGAAAGATTTTACGGAGCGAATCAGCTTCCCATCTTCGAGCCACCAACTCATAGATATACCGATGGCTAAGGTTGTTATTAGCTACAGAGCCCACATCCTTGGTGATTCGAATATTGAAATCCCCGACTTGATTAAAACCAACCACTCGGTCATCAACTTCAAGAATACTGATAATAAATGCCTGTTCTTCTGTCTCGCTTACCACCTCGAGGAGAAAGCTCGTGTCCATCGAATGATTTCTCC